GCAGGCAGTGGCTCCATCGTCCTATTCTGCCCCTCACCTTCCCCTCTGTGCTGGGGCCTACATTTGCCAGAGAAAGGACGTCAGTCGGACGTGGGATCCGAGCGGCCTGTGCTGAGGACTGGGAACCTTCCTCGTATTTTTAAGCCAAGTCCAAAGAGACCAGCAGCTGAGGCAAGGTTTGGACAGCGGCCAAGCCTGCGGGCGTCCTGCACTTGAAGTACCGAGGGAAGGTGGGTACGTCTCCCAGTAACCGGAGGCTGTCTCCTTAAGCCGGCCCAGGTGCATACGCCCCTTTCCATTCGCGCAGACTGCAGTCTCCCCACGTGGGATTAGGATGCAGCCCCACTTCCCCGGCCGGCCCCTCCCTCAGGTCTTTTCATCCCTCGGGGCATTGGTTCCTGGGAAGACCTAAGGCTCCGGCTGGTCTGACTGCTGGCCCCGCAGGTGCACACCACACTCCTAAGATTGCCTGTCGAGTGGCCCCTGTGTCTCGGCAACCTGACCTTGACGGGGGCTCAAGGAGACCGGTTAGTGGTTAGCGGTCTCTCCCGCCCTCACACGGCAGCTCCGACCATGAAAAGCTCCATGAAGCGCCTGTGGGCCCTGCTGGGCGCCCTGTGCATCCAGCCCAGCATCTGTCACGCTGTTTGGGCCACTGCCTGTTGGGAGGTTGGATTGGGTGCCTTTAGCCGCAGCGGCTGAGACCCTGAATCCATTTGGCTTTATCATCAGGTGCTGCTAACTGTGGGGCAGGCCAGGGAGCAGGCGGTGGCAGCTGATGAGCGATGTCACAGGGACCCAGCTTCATTTTCCGGGGCTCCCTCTCCCCAGGTGCTGGCCTGGCCCCAGGCTGGTTCCCCTCGGGGGCGGGGGGCTGCTGGGTGGCTGAGGCAGCTGCAGGCATCCAGCCCAGGGAACAGCAGTCGGAGGAAGAGCGAGCCAGGAAGCCCTCTCCTAGCGCTTCAGCAGCCTTCCTCTCACCCTCATTGGGCAGCGTGCAGTCACGTGCTCGTTCCTGAGCCAATCGCTGGCCCTGGGCATAGGATGACCTGGATCAAAATGACCAGTGGTTCTCAAAGTGGGGTCCCCAGACCAGCAGTGTCAGCAGCACCGGGGAGCTTGTTAGACATGCAGATTCTTGGGCCCCATCCCAGAACCGCCGGCTCGGAAACTCGGGGCGTGAGCCTCAGCAAACTGCAGCTTTTAAACTGTGCTTTATTGGTGACATTAACCGCTGTCCAACAGGAGATGAACTTAGCACCACATGTAATTTCCTCAGGGAAGGAAAGTTTCCTAAATAAAAATCCTGAGATTTGACAAAATGAAAAGCACATGATTTATATAAAAGCATGTCATCCAATT